ACCAGCTCCGGATACGTTCCTTCCGGAGCGGATTTCTCGCCCCGGAAGCAATCTCTTGCGGCGCAACTTGGGAGTTTGCCTAGTGTGGAAGCCCACACTAGTATGCCATCATATTCTCGTCAACCCCCACTTTGGGTAGACGGTGCCTTTAAGGTGCCGTATTGTAGGGCAGCTTCAGCTTAGATTTAAAGTGCAAAATGAATCACCTTTCATTCAATGAAATTCTTCAATACGCAGGATTATGCTAAAAACTTAGGAAGATTTTGTGACGGTGAGACTGTCCGAAAAACCTCTACATATTTACTGAGTTGATTAGCATCAACTAAGATCAGATTTTCCATTACCGCAATCTAATAGTTTGATCGGGCATACTGTAACAAAAATTTTCTCCATGATGACCGAAAGTCTGATTTTACCACTCAAACGGCTCCACAAACATGTGAAAAGTCATTTACTAGTATTAACGGGTCAAACTTATCTACAAAAGTTTTAAAGCGTTCTGGAAATTCTGAAAATGCAGCTGACTTGTAAGAGGACGCTGTACTGGAAGCTCCTATCGGATCCTACATTGACGAAGGGCAATAATTCGTTTTGTACGGTTACTGTTAATCCTGAACTGAAGCCAACCCTACAGTATGCTAATTATAAATCCGTGAAAGCTGTTGATATAGGGAAGTTTAGTTATCAAATGTTCGATATGTTTATTTGGGACAACTTCTATGACAGCCATAAACGTACTGGGAGTGAAGAAAGCAGCAAGGTAGTTGAAAAAAAAAGTTTGATGAAACATAAGCATATGAACGTGAAGAGTTTCCCGCTCACCTGAGATTGGCGCTATCAATGGAGTAGGCCTTATCACTGAATCATGCACAGTGATTGTTGTTGGTGTCAATTTCGGCGCAGAATTCACTATTGGCGTCGGCTGCGGCTGCTGTGGTAGCTGCTGTTGACGTTGCTGTGATGGACTGCTGGACGCGGGAGTGACCGCCGTGCTCAAGCCATTTTGATACATCTCTCGCATTTGATTCAGCTGTTGCTCGAGGAACATGCGAGCCGTACGCTCGCGTTCCAGCGCCATTTGAAGGCTGTCTATCATCGAGCGTTGTTGATCGAACTCGGCACAATCTTCGACTGGAAAAGTGATGTTCTCAGCGCACAACTAAAAC